AAGCATTATTTTTTTTTTTTACCGGTAAGGGGATCACAACCCTCAGCACGGTGTGGTCTGCACCACGCTCAGCCAGTGAGCGCACCAGCATTATTTTTTTTTTTTTACCGGTAAGGGGATCACAACCCTCAGCATGGTGTGGTCTGCACCACGCTCAGCCAGTGAGCGCACCAGCCATCCCTATATAGGATCTGAACATGCGGCCTCGGCACTACCAGCACCGCAATCTCCCAAGTGAGCCACCGGGGCCCACCAGCATTATTTTTTAATTTAATAATATTAATGTTTCACTGATTTCCTTGGGTTCTCAAAGATCTAAGTAAATCTTACTATGCAATCCAATCTTAAAGCTAGACACCTACCAGCATTCAAGAAAAAATAAAATATCCCCTCAAAGTGACAAAGTGATGAGTAGGGCCAAGTTAGGTTGGGGATGGGGGAAAGGAAAGGGAAAGCCATAGTGGTCTGCTGTAGGTGTTAATGCCTTACCAGGGTTAAGAGGGTGTTCACACAGGGATGTGGGTACCTCAGCCTAGCAATGAGGAGTGTTTATTTGCGTAAGAGGGCAGCCTGGTGTAGGGCGTCAGAGCACAAGCAGGATGAAGAGTGTGTTTCCATAAAAGCATGGTCTCACTTGGGTGAGGGGAGTGTGTGTGTGTGTGTGTGTGTGTGTGAAGGATGAGATGGGGAGATGCCTGGCACAAAATATCAGAGCATGTGCTAAGTAAAAAGGACTTCGTGAAGAAGAGCAACCTGGCATGGGATGGCAGAGCCCAGACAAGATAAAAAGGCTATCAGCACAGGGTAAGGCTCTGTAGGTCTGTGGTAGTGGTCCAGTGTGGGGTGATAAGAGTCTGAACAGGGTGAATAGAACATTTTTGCAATGAAAGAAACAGNGTGTGTGTGTGTGTGTGTGTGTGAAGGATGAGATGGGGAGATGCCTGGCACAAAATATCAGAGCATGTGCTAAGTAAAAAGGACTTCGTGAAGAAGAGCAACCTGGCATGGGATGGCAGAGCCCAGACAAGATAAAAAGGCTATCAGCACAGGGTAAGGCTCTGTAGGTCTGTGGTAGTGGTCCAGTGTGGGGTGATAAGTGTCTGAACAGGGTGAATAGAACATTTTTGCAATGAAAGAAACAGTCGTAAGTTTGGTCATATATAGGAGTATTGATCAAAATAAGTAAACATATTAAAGATACTAGGAGCCAGGTTTCTCACTGTCAGAAAAGGGAGTTACAAATATGGGAAAGGAGAAAACTAAAACAAACCCTTTAGTACTGGATTAAAGTTGGAAGAATCATCTTCAGCTCACGGTTTTCAATATGGATATGATTAGGAATGTAGAAGCAAATGTGTATATATGTACCTATACTTACATACATACATGTATACAATATTTATTCCCTAGCTCTTTTCTAGTTCTCCGGCCTGGGAACAGTGATATTCCAATAACAATGAGCATATCTAGTTCCCAGATCTTGATTTCTAAATACCATTCTCTAAAAATAGGAAGTTGGGAAAAAAAAAAAAAGAATGAGCTTGGAACACCTTGTTATATGGAAGGACAATTGGGACAACGGGTGAATCTTGAATGGGGTCTGAGAATTAGATATAGTAATGTATCAGTATTAACATCCTGATTTTGGTGGTTGTACATAGTATGGTCACTAGAAGAAAACCCTTGGTTCTAACAAATACACACTAAAGTATTTGGAAGTGATGAGACTTTGGGTCAGCAACTTACTTTCAAACACCTCAGAGAAAAACAAAGTTCCTTGTAGATACTTACAACTTTTCTTTAAGATTGAGATTAAATGGATAAACAAATAATCAAAAGTGGGGAAGGTGAATAGATGATAAGGTAGAGAGCAGGAAGAACTACTTACTGAGGTCTTCAGCCAGTTGAACTCGTTTACCCGTAAGCAATTTAACCTTCTTCTCACTGTCGTCAGCGAAATCTTCCAATACCTCTTTAACATTTTTCTCTAATCGCCTAACTGTCCAAAGTAAATAAAAAAACCTGAAGAGCATCATTTTTTTTGAATGTGCAGGATGATAAAATTAACCATATAAGGAGACTAAGTTCTATTTTTTCTCATCATGTTAAATTATTGTTAAGTTCATACTTCTCACAGTTAATATAGAGAATCTCTATCATTATATAGTACTTTCAGCAGCATGAAACTGAAACATATTCCAAGATAATGTCATATTCTTGAGCCATAACACTTTAATGAAAGTGCAGATTTCCCAATAAAACTAAGTGATGCTGAGGAGTCCAGTCTTAAGGGAATTTTTCTGTAATGAAAGTAGACTCCCATCCTTTTCAATTATACTTTATTTTCATTAATATGAAGGGAAATTTTAAAGGGAAATTATAATTTTCAGTTTTTCTAATGAATCAATTTTTAAGGAATTATTTTGGCATCCTTCTATTAAAAATGAATGTTATTACTATTATTTTTTAATGTCAAAATTAGTAGGCAGTCCCTATGTGGCTTACCTTCAGTGTTGGTAAGTTGCTGCCTTAAAGTATTCGCGGTGATAGCAAGCATGCGCTGTATTCGCCAAAACAAGACCACATCATTGCATTCCAACTGAAATATTAAGTAACTGAGATTACCAAATGCAAGTTTTAAAATGAAAATCATGATCATAAACACATACAACTACTGAAGTCAGTACCTATACTCTAAGCTTTAATAAAAATTACTCAGATTTACCTAATACATATCCTCCTACTGTCGATATAAGCTACAGAATCTTTTCTGCACAGATCC